CAGGTTGGCGTGGTGGAATTCTTAAAATTTTTGGATTATTTTTTTGGACTATCTTGGGGTGGTGGAGTCGCCAAAATCTGGATGAATAGAGCCGCCAAAATTTAAGGTGCGGAGGCAAAAACTTTGGGTGTTATATTGTTGGTGTTGATTATTATTGATGGAAGTGTAATTAAGATCTACGCGAACGTGATGGAGGTGTGCCAGACGATGAGCGTGCGATCGGTGTTTCGCTTAATAATGACGATTGGCGTGGAGAAGGTGACTGGAGGAGTTACCAACCCCCACAGACGTTACGTGGGGCAGATCATTTGCAGATGCTTGCAGTCTTCCGAGAGCGTCAAGCAAGAGGCATTGCACGGGTGAGTTGTTTGGTTTTGCTATACGTCACATTTAGAAGGGTAGATAGAGTTGGGATCTGACACTATACGTTGGTATCAGAAGCGGGTTATTGTGGGGTAGGCAGGGTTGGGATGTGGCATTGCACGGGTACGTTCCTTTCAGACAGAGTTGGGAAATGGCACTATATGGGTATTTTGGTTTTTGGGCGGGGTTGAGTTGGGATGGGTGGTGTAGGATAGCCAAATGGGTGGGGCACGATTGAGATGGGTGGGGATTCGGATCAAACCGTTATTATTAGTGTTACCGTGTGATATGCATCGTTTGGAGTTATTATTAGGCATAGAATTGTAATTATTTTTGTTGTGTACATTATTATTATTGTATATATTATTTATTACTGTTGTATATATTATTTATTATTATTGCATATATTATTTATTATTACTGCTATTTATTATTATATTACGCATTATTTATTATTATTATTACAGTACATATTATTTATTAATACAATACATCATTTTTGTTAAAATAATACATATGTATTACTGTTATTATATATGTTATTTATTATTATAGTACATATTACTTATCATTATAATACGTATTATTTATTATTATTTATTATTATACATGTTGTTTTTTTATTATGGTATGTATTATTTATTATTAATGAAATTATTTCAGGATCGCAG